TTAGATAAAAAGTTATAGCCATTTAAAAAATTGAAACACTTCATGTAACCGTTGAGTATAGATGTCTTGCACCATAGCTGTAAATTCGCAAAACATCCATCGGTAAAAGAGCTTTCAATAAAATATTTTCGAAGAAATAGAATGTCAGAAAAATGCACCATTCGATAAAATAGCATGTATGTCAGTAAAATAGACATTCATTTTTTGATATTCAATGAAATGAAAATTGCAGATAAATGACTTATCGGTAAAATTTATTTTCAGTTAAATGAACTTTCGATAAAATGGGATTTTCGAAATTATGTCTTGTTAGTAAAATGGGACGTCAGTATTGTGCCTTCGATGAAATAGTATTTCAGTAAAATTGATTTCGGGAAGTTAACACGTAACCCAAATTTTTTAATACTTTAAGGAATAATTGGTAGCGATTAATCAAATATTTATTCCAATTTCAAAAAATATTTAATACGATAATATATGCTAAAAGATAATAATAAAAAGAAAATATACATGTTCTTAATAGCAATAGCATTTTTTGCAATTATTCTGCTACAGTATAAAATCAACGAACGCTAATTAATTATTCATCAGCCCACTTTTTAACCCATGCTCTGGCTTTTTCCAAATTTTCATTAACCTTTTGTTCATCATCACCAACTTCCTTTTTCAAAGCTTTCTTAGCTTTTCCATAACACATTTCACATTCATCTTTAAACGTTTCAAACATAATAATTTCCAAATATGCCATTGCCAATGCTAAGCATAATACTTTCTCATTTTTAATTCCAATAAATTCAAAATCTTTAAAATTATTTTTATCAAACCAAGAATAAAATTTAGTAGATGGTAAAAATGAACCATCAAATGATTGAAAATTGAGAAATTTATAAAGAATTTCAATCTTTGGAGGTTTTGATTTTATAGAAGTAGTTGATAAATCTGCCTCAATTTGATCAATTTCATCTGATTGATTTGCTTCAGGAGCAAGTCCTGCCACTCCTATCATAGAAGTTTTAATTGCTGCACCAAAAAAGGTACGAGAAGCAGGAATAGGTGCATCTGTTAATAATATATTTAATTACTGCCTAATTACGGAAAAATGAACTAAGTTAAAATTAACATAATAAATATAACTTACAACAACGCATAGTAACAAACGAAGGTGCAGAGACTGGAACGATTCTTCGAGCTGGAGGGTTTTTGACTTCGGCCACTAGCTTATTGTCTCTTTCATCAATTGCAAGAAAACTAATTATATCGAAAAAAAAATAATTGTAGCCTATGTTAATCATAACATAATGCTTAAAAAAAAAAAAAATTTCTTACCTTGTATGTTTGGAAGCCAAGCTATATGTTACACCCAAATTTACAACTTGTTCACGAATAAATGAGTTTGGTATAGTTTTCCCACTATTTTTTGGATGCCTATGAATAAATGAAGATCCTTCTTCAAGATCTTGAATAAGCTTTCTAGCCGCAAGTGTATGAATTTTTGATCCTTGTAAAGCTACAGGATCTAATGAAACAGAAAGCTTTATAGGGCCCTCACTGGAGATTCCACTCAATACAATTTCTTTACAAGGTTCAACACCTTTTTCTAAAATACAATAAACTATAAATCGAGTACCAGGATAAATTGGCGGAATTAAGTATGGTGCTTGTTGAATTTTTATATTTGTAAAGATTTTTTGATCAATCGGTGGAGGTGTAGTATTATCGCTAAAGAAACTAATAGTTGGCTTATCAGTAGGATTTGGTTCTATTGGTAAATTATCATCAAGGATCTGATTTGTCCAAGTAATATTATAATCTTTAATAGGAGGTTTAATAGCATTTTTTAACATTCCAAGAATCTTTTTATCCATTCGTTCATTATTTGTAACAAATTGAGCATATCCTTTACCAGCACGAGAAACAGATTCAACTAAATGATGAGAAACTGAATCACCAATTCCAATTGAAAAAAACCTTAAATCATCTTTCTTTTTTTCTTCGTTAGATTTAATAAGTTCTACAATTTGATCAACATTATAAACCTGACCATCAGTAAGAAGGAAAATGGAAGTTGGCATATCATTCTTTGAATTTTCGAAGGCCCATTTTAAAGGAAGATAAATTTCGGTTCCTCCATAATTTGAATCCATTTCTTGAGCATGTTTGAGAGCTTTTAAAAAACTTTCTTCAGAATAAGGTTGACTCGTTTTAAATAAAGAATCAAAATTGGACCCGAATGAAACCACATTAAAAAAACAATTTTCAGGTAATGAACGAAGCAGTAATTGGAGTGCTTCAGATGCTTTTTTAATCGGTCCACCATTCATTGAACCAGACCTATTATTTTAAGATTAATTAATATTATAATATGATAATATAACACTAATTACAATTACATGTTTTTAACATGATAATACTGTATAACAAGAATTATATGTTTTTAACTTTACAGTACCTATCAATTATAAAAATTAATTCAGACGCTATTTCTTTAATGGAAAACTTTGGTACTAAAGTTAACATAATGCAATTGGTTTCCATTTTAGGGTTGTGTTCAATAAAGGCTCTGGAGATAAATAAAAAAAAAAAAAGTATAATTAATTAAGAGAGTTATTGTAAATATATGTAAATATTATATAATTACCTTGGCTGATCGAGACCCAAACTTTTGACAACAAGTATAAAATCTTTTTCTAAATGAGTAATTTGTTCAGCTAGAGTAATTTTTGAAACATTTGGATTGCCATCAATATTTAATTCGGATGAAATATGATGAGATGGTGATTCGATGCTTTGAATAGTAGAAGTCATTCTACATGTAATAGCAAGCTTTAAATAGTAATCAGTCTTGTTCGAATAAGATACTACATCAGGTATAAGTTTCTTTCCATCATTTGAAGAAGAATAATCGGATGAACCATATCGTGGAGCAATTGCGGTAGGAAAAACAAATCGGATACTTTCAGTTTCAGAATCATGTTTTAGTTCAGTTACATAGGTAATTCTGATAACAACAGTTTGACCAGCTGTGATATTACCAATGGAGCATTGGAAAATATCTGGGAGTTGTTCTTCGAGCAGATAAGCCCCATGACCTTGCTGTGAAAACAAATAATATGTGTCAACAAACTACTGTATGTACATTACATACGATATAACGATAAATTATAATTTAATTATAGTTATATTACTTGAATAGCCTCATCATATCCTTTTGCAGCTTCCTTTGCTTCTTTAACTATTCCTTTAACTTTTCTCTTTCCATCAATTTCGGCTTCAAAACCACATATTGCTGCAGACTCATGAAGTGGAAATTTATAAATTGCTTCAATCGTATTTTGTTCAACATTTTTATAGGTCTGACAAACCATTGCTAAATTGGACAAGATTATTAGTTGTACGAAATATGATACGTAAAACTATATTAATATTATTTAGTTATGTATATAAATTAATTACTTTCAGCTATCATATCAACAACTAATTTTAAATTTAAAAAAGACGTTAATGATATGAAAAAAAAAAATAAAAAAATTCATTATTAGATATTTTGAAAACTTTACTATTCGCTTCAACCGAAACATTTTGTAAAGGAACAGGTTTTTCACGATCTTCTATGATACAAATAAGCCCGTATAATTGCATCTTTCAAAAAGTAAGACTCTTTAAAAATTTTATTAAGCACGTACGTACGTACATATGAAAGTAAAAATTTGCCGTTTTTATAGTAAATTTAAAACTACTACAAATAAAAAAATTATGACATCATTGTTACATAATGCTGGTTTTATTTTAACACGAAATGGAAGTTTTACAGTAAGTGAGAAGTGTAAAGGAGTGCCTAAATCGTTAATATGATGATGTGGCTCCTTTCATATGTCTTTGAATGGCACATTCGTATTGTAAAAAAATGAATTAGTAAAATGCGTTATACTATAAAAAAATAAAATAAAACTTCTTAACTATTAAACTGACTAAATATACAGGTTATTTAACATTTCCACATTAGCAAAATCGTCTAAATGCAAAAATAGAAAATATATTTAAAACTTTTTTATTGTTACTACTAATCACTAATTAAAAACTATATACCTGGATAGAACCGCTCCGATTTTGAAATCGTTCGTTCATATAAATAAATTAAATACTGAAATAATTTGGCAGAAAGTATTATTCTCTATTAATGCAAATAAAGACTGTTTGGTATTCAAAACTCCCAAATCTTTCAGTGATATGCGTTATTTTATATTTCTTTTTTTTTCAATTATGCTAAATTTTTCTTGGGCAAGTTTTTGTCTATCACTAATCAATTTTTAAAATAAAAACAAAAACAATCGTCACATGTTTAATGCACAAATAGCCAACTTCGTACCTTAGTAATGTACATGTAGCGCTACTAAAATTCGATGGTTCTGTATCGAAGTTTTGAATTAACATGGACGAACATGTGACACTACATAGTATAATGATACACAGAAAACGAATTCTGAGAGTATAGCTTATCGGGATGACAGCTACATTGAAATATTTCTTGTCTAGACAACAATCGTATGAGTGTTATATTTATGTAGTTTACCACATGACGGTCACATTAGACAGTCACGTAAGCATTCTAGATTTGTGGGTTAAATTCAACAAGGTAGTGTAACTGTATACTAAAGAAGACCGTAAGTTCTTGATACCTGAAGAAGTAACATTCCGTCCGGATTTTCAACCAATGAAAGAAAAAATCAAATATATACTATTCTTCGTAGAATGGGAATAACAAAAGAATTACGTAGACTCAGATCTGATTGATAGTGACGGACTAGCACTAGCTGCTACATAGCCACCTTTATTGTCATCAAATTTATGATTAATTATGTGGCAGTGTAAGAACGTGAAATTATGTACTTCAATATTGCATTTTTTATTAACATCCTTATATAGCAATCTCAAGTTTGTAAACTTACCGTTCAGATTAACTACTACTATAACGATAAAGAAAAATTCTTAAAAGAGGAAATTTTGCTGTATCACAAAC